AATTTTAGTCCTGCCTTCTATCCATGCTCAGCAGTGATTTGCTTTCCACCTTTAATTACAGTTTTCAGTTGTCATCAGACTGCAACTTCCCACCTCTGAGTTTTGAACACCACTGCAGAAACCTTGAGCCCCAAGCCAGAAGTCCTCTATTCCTCACATCTGAATAGCAGTATCTCTGTGTAGGCTCTGCTGTTCTGAGTACTGCTGCTGTTTGTGGAGTTAAAAAGATCACATCCATTTCTTTGTTGCTGTTGCAGCTGTGGACAGAAGGAACTGTCACTAAATACTGCAGGATAAAGTGCTTACTTCTAACTCCTGTGTGATTAAATTAATCCTGCAAAAAGTCCAATTTTGTGTCTCTCTGAAGTGAGAAACCTTGGTAAACCCTGCAGCACAGCCAAGGAGAAGCCTGTGATTAAAGACTTGTGGGGGATCTTGTTTAGAAAAGACATGTAAATAAAAAAAATAAAAAATCATGATAATTCAGTTCACAGAGCACTAGAAGATGTAATTTCTAAATTAGAAATTGAAACAGATGTGTGATAACTGCATTCAGTGGCCAGGCTTCTGCCATGGCTTTGGGGAAAGCCCCTAAGAGTAATCATGAGGCCAGAGAAGGACCATCCTTGATAGGGTGTTATTCTGCCTTAAAAATTGCTGACATGTTCTTTTGCATTTTGTTTTACTTCTTAGATACCTGGTGTGAAGGATGTGTAATCTTCAAAACTTTGAAGTTTATTATTGTCTTACAGTGCAAAGTGTACTTTTAAGGTGTAATTTCTCAGAAGCTCTCCTTATGTTTTTTTCAGGGCATTATCTTTTTGAAAGATAGTACAGGATTCAACCTTTTGATTGAACAGCACCCTTTTCTTTTAAGTGCTCCAGCAACTATTTGCATTTACCAGCATACTCGTTTTCAGTGAAAGAGTATATTTCTTCATGGATGGAAGTTTTAATTGGGGATTATTATTGTTGTTTCCTGACTGTGATTTTTTTATTGGTTGTATTTGCTTAAATTTAAGTTTGGTTAGCATGCAGGGACCCTTTTTGATGACTTAGCATCCAAGCTGAAAATTGCCAAAGCAGTTTCAAAATGGATTAGTTTTGTTGCTGTGTGAAGATTTAGCAAGCTGCTTAATATAATGGATTTATACAAACATACGTGTTTGTGTGTGTGTGTGTGTGTGTGTGTGTATGTATAATGGGTGCATAGACGAATTTTAATCCTTGGAATCTTTTCATGTAAACCAGACAGAAATACAAATCTTGAGTGCTTGATGACTTCAAAAAGAATGAAACCTCTTTTGCATCCATTCTTTGAAAAACACATCAAGAAGGATTGGAAGAAGAAAATTAATGGAGCTTTTAAATAGTCTAGTATGCTAATCTAGAAGCCAACAGATTATGCATCAAATTCTCCATGTCTTCAAAACTCCACGAATTTATACATTCTGCAGCTACAGCTGTGAGTTAGATGTATTTTGCTGGGGTGTTTTTTTTTTCCAGAATATACATTTGCATTATGCTTAGGATGATCCTGTGAGGATAGCTTTTGTCATGCTGAATGCCACATTATTTTGTTGGTGTGCCTCTTCCTAAGTACAGCACCCCTGAAGGAAAAAATGTGTTTAATAATTATATTTTAATGTTGAACTTACCAGACTTTAATATCCTTTACCATGAACATAGCCAACCTTATGCTGCACACTTGCACATGCTTTACAAAACAGGTACAGTATCATGTATATTTAAGCCATAGTCATAGTTTCCTTTTCTGGGTTTCATAAAACTAGGATAACACAGTCTTTAACCTCAATTGACTTTGCATCCATCCTTTAACAGCTTCTCCCACAGTGTTTTCCTCCATTCTGCAGGCTGCAGCCTGTCACTCATCCCATGCTGAGGTGGGAGGGAGAATTAACCTGAGTGCTGAGCTCGAGTGGAGTTGAAATTTATTTCCTTACATTTATAAATACACACTCTTGTGCCCACCAAGATTTTCTCAGGAAGGCTCTTGCTTCTTTGTGTTTTAATAGAGCTCAAATTTGCCCTGAAGTCTTCATGCTAACATGCATGCCCATATAGCACAGTTTTCTTCTCTGGTTCTATTTTAAGCTGGATCATGAAATTCAGGGAAAGATTTTATGCTTCAGTGCTTTTGCTCTTTCTTTCTGCTCTTCTCTGAAGTGCACAGCAAGGAATTCAGGTATTATAACTGTAGAACAAACATTTTTCCTGTGCACACAGTCCAAAACAGAGTGCTAACACAAAAAGCCATTCGGTTACTGGCTGGAACCCTCTTTTACCAGAAGAGTGTTTTCCCGGAGCCTGTAGTATCATCAGCCCAGCTTTTTGTGCAGAATGTTACTGCTAGCGAAAAAATTGCCTTTGCCTGAACATCTTTTTACACAGGCATCTGAGACCAAGTTCCATAGAGACACTCTGTGGGTTTCTGTCTCCCCAGCAGAGTGGGGGGCAGGTTCCAAGGCTCCTCCACAGCAAATGCTGGGCTCTCTGTATGTACTTTTTCTTCACGTGTATTGCTAAGTCTAAAGACACTGATCCCTAAAAGTGGGAGATGAAGGTGTGCCTTGTTGGTCAAGATTGAAAGGGTTGGACCATACAGTGCTTTATTTTGGTGCTCTTAGCCACAGACATTATTACATCTTGATCAATCTGGAAAAAAAATCTCATCCTTGGAAGTGTTCAGGGCCAGGTTGGATGGAGCTATGAACAACCCAACTGGGGGCACAGGAATTGGGAGATTACCTAGATGATCTTTTAGGTCCCTTCCAACCCAGGCCATTCCATGATTCTACAGTATATATATGGGGGTTTTGAGATTTAAGGCTAGGAAAGAGTAATCTATGAAGCCTAGAGGATGACTGTTCCATGTATCTATTGTGCTAATCCAATAAATTAAATTGTTTTTAAACTAGTACTAGGTTTTCACCTGAATGACTGATTTCACTGTTTTTTCTGCTGTGAAATCTGAGGGTAGAAGCCTGTTAAAATGTGGCTGTCCATGTTGGGTACAACATGAAGAGACTCTGGAGCATTCAGTGTTGATTAATACAAGGATTTATAGTTCCTCTCTGTCTTGACAATGAGAAAAAGCACAACCAACATGTTATACATCATTGTTTTTCCTCTCTTATATTTGTGGAGGGTTTTTTGGTTTTGAATTTATTTTTTCTTAAGGAAGTGGACAACATGTCAAAGTATCAGGTTCCTGGATCTTATTGTGTGTATCTAGGTGGGAGTAATTCCTATCTGGAGAAGGGTGTAGCTCCACTTCTGCATGGTTTTAATCTCTGAAGGAGGCTATAAAACTTCCTCTCCCTCTCTGTGGATGTTTGGAAAGTGTTCCCATGTCTGCTTTATCATCATTTATTACCAATCACATAATAAGGGTTATATTTCCTGTGTGCTGTGCTGCAGGTGACACCAAGCCCGAGCCACTACCAGAAGGACCTGGTCAGCCAAGCATGTGGCAGTGGACTCTCTGCCCACTGTTTGATACCAGCTTGGCACTGTTGAGTAAGAAGTTAATATCAGTGTGTATACCTGCATTAGGCATCTGAGACTGTTCTTCCTGGAGCTGTGCTGTAGCACAACAGCCAGAAATAAAAATGCTGTGACTTGTGCAGATCTTTGAGGAATACAAGTCATGATACTGATCTGGGAGCACACTCCACCCAGCGGGTCAGGTGGCTGTCCTGGAAAGGAGGGAGTCTGGGCTTGGAGCCCAGACATAGATCCTCTGTCTGACAGTGCAACAGATGCTGTCACCTGATCTAGGAGAGGTCACCTGCTCCCTCTCAACTTTCACATGTGAGAGTATTTACATGACTTGTGGGAGTGGTGTGAAGACTCATTCACTAATTTTTAACTATCTGCACAGTCTAATGTGCTAATCTCTCATAAAATACAGAATAGTTAAGTAAAATAATTCTAAGGAGTGTCACTTCTTTTAAATCTACCTTGATCTAAAAACATCTGATATTGCTTAGATAACTCTTGTGTTTTGGCTTACTACAAAGCATAAGGACAAAAGTAAATAGCAGAATTGAAAATAAATTACCATGATCATAGTCTTCAGATCACATATTGATGTCATGCACTAAATAGACCTGCTTGTATAGATGGTAGATTTGTTAGAATACATTTGACTGGTGTGGGATTATCAGCAGTTCCTGCTCCATGGCAGATGAGTGGTGGGAACACAGATGTGGGGCGCTTCAGAAAATCACCTCTAGTGTGGTCTGTGAGTGACCTGGGTTTGTTTTGGTTTGCTTTTATGGGATTGGTTGATGGCTGGGAGTGCTGATGCAGAAATGGAGCTTTTTACCATCTGCAAATGGGATTTTGTGAACAGATGTAACCATCAATTCAAGCTTTTTATCCTTGCTGTCCTCTTTCCCTGACCTCTCCTGTCGGGAGAGGACTCTTATAACACTGTGAAGTGAAGAAAAACAATGCATTTGTTTTCATATGGCTGTTGCTGTCACTCGTACTCCTTGGCTCACTCTTTGTATTAGTGAGTCTGAACAGCTGATAACTAATCTCAAGTGTATTAATTAACAGGTAGTCTGTCACTGGGCAATTACTTTAAAGGATCAGGTAAAGCAAGTCCACTCAGCGTTCATGTCTGAAAGATCATATGGAATACTTCTGTTCTAGTTTATTTTGTCATTTGTTGCCTTATTTTCTGTTGTGTTACTCATAAGATTTCAGTGTATTTCCACTTGCAAAGTCACATTAGTAGAATGCCTTTTTGTCAGCTCCTGCTGCTTTGGGGAGGCTCCTTCATAGAGAACAGGTGTTTGATGGGTTTCCCACCAAGGAAAACACCCCAGTTTGGTTCCACCAAAGACATGTGGGTGAGAATTCCATTACAAATAGGAAAAGCTGAATGAATTTCTGGGGAGCTTTCTAGCCAAAGGTTCATTGGAAAAAGGCCATTTGTCTCTTGGGCAGTTAATATCTGTATGGAGTAGGGATGGATGATAGAAAAAGATGATAATGCTAGATTTACTGTACCATTGTTTGTTGAAACTAGAGCTTTTAAAGGGAGAAAGGCACAGTTAGGATTAATTTTTTAATGCATTCTTACTCTGATAATGTTTGAACAGTGCATGTGTTCACATTTAAAGCAAACAGCTTGCATCTAACGCGTGCCAGCGCTTTATGCAGGAAGACAAGGAGCGGTAGCCAGCAGCCAGCAAGTCCTTTGGAGGACCTCTGAGCCTGCTGACAGGCACACTTACTCTGCATGTAATTTGAAGAAAGGCATTGTGCCCCCAGTGGCTTGGCTTCCAGTGAAAGATGGAGTTTTGTGCTCTCATTTTGCACTGAGGATAAGCTCGCAGATAAATAGGTCACTGTCCACGGAACTATTTTGCTCTAAATTGATTAGAAGCAACATGACCTTAAGCCTGATCTCCTTGCTCTACAAAGATATTGCTGAATTGTGGCTGCTTCTGAAGAAATGCACAGGTGTGTCTAGTATTTCAAATTTTCTTAGTTGCTTGATTGCAGGTCAGGCAGGAACTTTGCCAGATAACATTATCCTACCCAGGAAAATGGGATGTGTTTTAGTACAAAGGCAAAAGTTGTATTCTGCTTGTGTGTATCCATGTATAAATATATTTATTGGTGTGGCTGTGTGTGTTCTGTCCTTGTTTAAATTTGCAGTGTATAATTTTATTTGCAGATGTAGCTCTCAATACACCATATGTATTCACAAGCTCTGTACTCTGTATACTCTGTATTTTACATGGAAGGTACTTTGCTCGGGATTCATTCATGCCGTGATTATGGTGATCAGAACAGCTGCTAAAGCTTACAAGGAGAATTTGCTGTTGCAGAGAGCTGTCCTGCTGTTTCTGGTTTACAGTGTGTTTTAATTTTCAATTCATTGCATTTTGTATGACTATCAGATACATAATTTCTCCTGATCCCTATTGGAGGTAGAGAAAAAGCAACGTTTATTTCACAGGATACAATTTGGCATCCCCTAGTTGTTAGTATAGGCGAGTTGATCTAAAATGAATTATTTCTTTAATTCCTTCAGTCAGAGCTTTCTATAGAAATGTTGTTTCTGTAAAGATAAAATGAAATAGTAGACATATTATTTGCTGTTAATAGTGCAGCCACAGTCCATTGCAAAATGAAAGCATGTTTTGTGGAACAGAGACAAGCAAAAATTGCGTCCTTATTCTGGTGCCTGAATCTACATTCCTAGTTCTGTATTCTGCTTTTGGTATGCATGACTACTGCAGAGGAGACAGAGAACACCGAGCCCATGGACTGGTGTCTAACCTTCCAATACTGTTGCTTTTGAAATGTCAGATTTAAATAAAACAGGTATGTAAAGGGTGGGTCTTCTAACTAAAGGGTGGATCTTCTTACTAATCTTTAATTAGTATTACTAATCATCAACACGTGAGTCTGAGTGCTCTGCTTCTCAAGCAGTGCTTGATGCTACCAGGGTGATACTGAAAGGCATGCTACTTAGGAGGAATGAATGAAAGGTTTAAGAAAGATGAGGATAACCAGATGGAAAGGGTGGAGTAATAAGCCTGAGTAACTTTTGTTCTTTATGTGCATCCCTGAGAGGGGAGGGGTGGATTTAGGAAACCACTGGTTACTGTAGGAGACATTCTACAGTGAATGTAGAACGAGGGAGTATTTTGTGTCAAATCATGGTGGTGCATATGTAATCATGCCAGGACTACTTCTGTAAATTGCCAAGTTTAAAATAGGGTGTTTTCATTTGTATTTGATCACTGAGAAATAAGTGAGCAGGGCTTTTATTAGCAACTGCCAAGGCTTGATTCTCATCTGTTGACTGCCTCCACTTCTTGTGGGCAAGTTCAGTGTGACAGAGATCATTTCTTTCTGGAGAGCTGTTGGAACATTCTGCTCAGAGTGGGCAGAAGCGTTGTCCCATTCCCTGGCACTGTTCTTTCCTCTTCCTCCTGAGCTTTATATGGAGTATTTTTTTGTGCCTACAGTCAGCAGAGGGGAGAAAATGTAAGTGAAGGAGAGGTCTCAGCAAGGTTGACTGTATTGCACTAAATGATTCTGTAGCTGCCCATGGGATACACTGAGCTGTGTTCATGTCTTGCCTCTGAACTACATGAAGTAGTTCATATTTGCAGTGCTTTAGAAAGGTATGACATGTTTCATCTTTTTCATAGCATTAGACAGTAAGCCACTGTGCTTCAAGAGCTCTTACTAACAACTCTGCCAGCTGTGTGGTAAGGTGGGGCAGCCAGTTGAGTTAGGAATTCAGAAACCTCTTCTTTATAAGTAATCTGTAATCGGAGTCCCAGATACTGGGAACTTTACAAGTGAATGTTCTAGCTGAAAACTAGTACACAGCTCTAAACAAGCCTCAGTGTTAGCCCTTCTTTCTCTCTCACACACATTCCCTTTCAAAGCATTAGTTTGTGGATCTGTAGTTACAAGAAAAACTGTACTTGTGTAACAGTACCATGAAATAATATATTGTCTCTTAGGAGTTGTTCTCACCATCCTCTGTGTTGTTGAAATGATAAAAGTCAAGAAAACCCTTACTAACAGGGCCTGCAATGACAGGACAAGGAGAACCAGTTTTAAATTGAAAGAGGGTAGGCTTGGATTGGGCATAAAGAAGAAAACTTTTTTTACAATGAGGATGGTGAGACCCTGCAACAGGTTGCCCACAGAAGTTGTGGATGCCCCACCCTGGAAGTGTTCAAGGCCAGGTTGGATGGGACCTTGAGCAACCTGTCCAGTAGGTGTCCCTGCCTACAGCAGTGTGCTTGGAACCACATGGTATTTGAAGATCTCTTTCAACCCAACCAACTCGTTTTATGTAACTTCACAATTGTTAGCACTGCTATAATTTGTCTCCAGAATAGATGTGTACATTAAGCAATTAGATTTTACCACCTTGCTGCTTTATAAAAGTGTTTGGTTGTTTTGATTTTTTTGTTTTTTTAGAACAGAGTAAAATCACTCAATATTTAAAATCTTACCATGCTTCCGAAATAACACAGAAAAACAGCATTCTGTGTAGTACAATTGCCCGATATTCATAGTCATACAGCTGGTCCTGTGTGTGTTGACTTTTCAGTTAAAGCTTTGGGACCTGCTTTGAGTTGCACTTTTTTCTGAAGAGGAAGAGTTGAAAGCAGATTGTTTCGGTGGAGACAAATATTTGGTTAAATTCTCTGAAAAATATCCACTTCAGTGTATGTGTTTCAGTTGAGTAATTGCATCGTTAGTTTTTAAGGCTCACTGAAGATGAGTCCTTTAGCTTGCATGTGGCTCTTCTGTTCAGAGCTGATCTTTCCATTTCCTCTATTTGGAAGACTTCCTCTTCTTTGCAAAGCTTTAGTATTTAGAAAGCAAAATTCCTGTAATGACTTTCTCAGAGCATTAAATCTTACTAAAATGCAGTTGGCAAAATCTAATGTCCTTGTTATTCCATAGAGGCTTGCTTGCTAAAGTACTGAGTGAGACACATCTGGGTCACTTCCCTTCTTATCACTTGAGTTCTGGCAAGGGGAACATTCTCTGCTGCTTAGTCTTTCTCTACTATTTCTCCATTAAAAAAAAAAATCTTTGCTTTTGACAAAATCTGCTGCTTGCAGATGGCTAAGTACGTCTAATACTTTAGAATTTTTTTTTATTCTGTACACTCAGCATGATTTGCAGCATTAGGGAGTTAAGAATGCTGCAGTTTGGGCAATATTTAAATGTGATTCCTTGCAGTCTGAAACTCTCCTGCAAGAACAGAAAAGGGTTTACCTGGCTTCCTTCAGGACGCCCTGGAAAGAAGAGAGCAATATTGTTGTTGCAACAGTAAGAGCATGCCACAGGCATGAGGTTAATCATGCATTTGGGCAGGAGAGTACACCTGACACTGTTACTGCTTTATCTCTAAGCCCATTTTGTGCTTAATATGAACTTAGGCTGTGTGACATGATTCTAAGTTCCCCTTACTTCTCAGTTTGGAAAGAGAGTAATTATTATGACTGGAAATAGCACAAAAATGTGTCTTTCTCACTAAAATAGTCTGGGTGTACTTGAGCATGCACACAGCAAAGGCATGGTAAAATAGTTTAGATTTTTGAAGTGGTAACACTTTGAGATGTTTTGCAACATTGCAAAGCACACCCCTCTCACCTTTTGTCTTACTTTGGATTTTCTTCAAGAACAAAGAAATACTAGATTTAGGGTTTGATCCCTAGATTGACTTTCTAATTATTACACCATTTTCTTCTGTTACCGATTAGCCAGTGTTTAGTCCCTCTTGTAAGCCATATCCAAACTTAAAGGTGATCCCTGACAAGCTGAGGACTACAGACCAGTGTGTCAAGTAGGTGTGACTGATGAAGCAGAGGAGGAAGAAGCTGCAGTATTTAGCACTCATAGTATCCTGTGAATGCATCTATTATACATGAAAGGGAGGGGGATTGTATTTCCTCTCTGCTTGTGCTTTGAGAGCATGTTATTTTGGCAAAATAAGACAAAGAACTTTGTTGCCTTTTGCAAAAGGGGAGGTGGAAGAAGAAAGAGGAAAACAATCTGATATATATAATAAGCTGTCAAATCCAATAATATTAGAGTTGGAAAGAAACCAAAATCCTGCTTGGCTCTCAAAGTGTGATTTTGAGCAGGTATTTAATAATTTGACTCAAGAAAACGGGTACTGTTGCACCTCTTGTCATTTTGGGCCAAGCCAACAGCAATTGCATTTGCTGTATACATTAAAACTTCTATTTTTAAAGGAGAGATCAGTGTTTAATCTCCCTACTTGAAACCAAACCATCATTCTCATAGTTTTATAGGTGGTTTTGTGCCAAATCCCCAATTCTGTGATCTCAAAGAAGAAACAGGTGGATATTGTGATTGCAGAAAGCAGAAACTGCCTGAGTAAAGTAGGAGGTTCAGTAGTTTTCTGTACAAAGATGTTGGGTTTTAGACTTTGTTCCTTAACCCATGACAAGTTCCTGCCTCTCATATTTAAATTCTGGAGTTGTAGCCTTTGGGGACTAATTTGCCTGTCTTGTAAGTAGTTGTAGTGTTCTTCAGTTATGATCAATGAAGCAAAATTATCCAGCTTCATTTCAGTGGAATAATTTAAATATTACCAAAACTTAGGAAACATGAACAGTGCTGCAGGAACACAGTTTCAGGACTTTGTGAAGGATCTGTCAGGTTTTCTGATGCACTGGACATTTCAAACACCACCCAAATAAATAAGTGCCTGTGTCCACTGTGCCTGGGGTTATGATACAGGGAATATTTTTCCTAAGATTTTAGATTTTCTTTAGCAGTACCAGTTCCAAGTCTTGATTTGACCAGATCCTTACTTAGCACTGAAGGTGCATGGGATTCCATCCTAGCCTGTTGGAGCACTGGGTATACAGGAGTGCTGTTCTCTGCATATCGTGACAATAGGCCAGACAGTCTTAGAAAATCTACTGATGTTAGGAATGCTG